ACAGCGTCGGGTGGCAGGTCCAGCCCAGCGGCGCAATCGCCCCCCGCCTCGCGTTGATCGCGTCGTCGTAAGTCGCGATCACCTTGCCTGCGTCGCGGATCTCGACAGGGTGTTCGGCTGCCTTCGCTGCCGCCCCCCGCTGCCTCTGTCGTTTCCCCACCTGCGTCTCTCCGCCAGTGTCTGCCTTCTTCCGCTTGCCGAGCTTCGGGTGCCAGGGCGGCGACGGCGTCGCGCGCCACCCCGTCGCGTTGAACTGCGGATCTGCGCGCGCATCGCATGGTCTCAATGCGCGGCTGCCAGCTGACGCCCGCGACTGGGGGCGTCGGCAAGGCCGGTTTCTGCGGCGCCAGCACGCCGGCCAGCGCGAACTTCGCGCCGGCCGGGCGCGGCGCCGCCCCACATCGACGTCGCGCCGCGAAGTCGATATGGGACGGCACCGCGTCCGACTTGCAGAAGGCCGGGGCGTCGTCGGTCAGCGCGATGGCGCGCGGGCCACCCAAGACGTCGCGCCAGCCCGCCCTCGCGAGCTTGGGCTGGTTCGCGTGGATATCGCCTGTCATGATCTGGGGCGCGCGGAGCTGGGCCTTGAACTTCGCCGACCCAGCGCGCCCCCCGGCGCTGGCGCCCCCCTTCCAGCGGCTGACCGCCTCGCGGGCGCAGAGATATCAGGACTGCGGTGAAACCATTCGACTGCCGAGTCATGGCCGTCCAGTCCTCCGTCTGCAAAATCCCGAGAGGGTCTGCGCCTCCCGGCGCATCGCCTCTGCTGCCCGCAGCGGCCTCCCATGTGCTCCCGAACGCAGCCAACGCGCGAAGTGGGGACGTCTTGCAGCGTGACCTGGCACCGACCGTCGCGCCGCCAAGAGATCCACCATCCGAGCGTGAGAACTGCTGCGCAGCCACGAACGACGTCTTCAGCCCCTACTCGTGCATCACCTCCTCTCCTCCAATAGGTAGCGTCGGTCTCCCGCTACATCTAGGCATCGTGACCTCCACCGCCGCGCCGTCTTCCCGCTGAGCCGCATGCGCTTGCCTTTGGGTCGAGACTCCACAGTGGGCCCCCATGCCGCCACGTTGCCGACGAAGATCCACCTGGCGGCCGAGCGGCCGGCCATCGTGCCGCCAAGGCTCTGGCACAGGCAGCCAGGGGCCGCGGGGCTGGCCGCCCGGCCTGCCTCGCGCCTCGCCCTGGCCGCCTGTGCCGCCTCCGCCCCCTCGATCGAAGACCTCGCCTCGGCGGCGTGGGGGGGGCCTGGTCTCCCGGGCCTGCTGCGCCTGCGGAGACTGGCCCGGGCCTGCGTCCTTGGCGGCAGAGGCGTCGATCTGCCTCTCCTTCTCTTCTGTCCTGATCTCCCACGAATTCCTGGCCGCTAACTCTCTCGCTGCGGCGGCGTGCCTCTGCATCTGCCCCGCGTGCTTCGCGGCGCCCTCCAAGGACCCCGAGCACCGCCTGCGTCGCCGGCGCCGCCACCGCCGCCGCCGCGCCCTCTATTTCGCCTTCCTCCAGCTTCAGCTCCTCGCTTAAGTCGGCGGTTTCCTCCAGGTCCAGCACCTCCGGCGATTGCCTCAGCAGCAAGGCCATGAAACTGGGCGCTCCGCTGGCTGTTTCTTGCTCACACTGCGGGGTCTTCTCCAGCAACGCATCCGCCCCCCTCGCGGCGTCGGCCTTGCGATCCATCCATCTTGACTTTCAACTCCTCTAGATTGGTCCTCGCCGTCTCGACGGCACTCGAGATCAGCTAGAACTGGCCATGTTTGGCTGCGCCGCCGCCTCCGCCCATCGCCCCGCGCGCGGGCGCTGCTGGACTGGTTTGGGCCCCCCAAGCTTCTTCGCGAAGCCCGAGAGCTGCTGGCCGAGCACTTCCCCATCTTCGGCCTTCATGCTGGACATGCGCGTCGCGATGGTCTGGATCGCGTGGCCCAGTTCCATCTGCTCTGCTGCTTGGCTGCCTGCTCCACCGCGCGCTGCCGCAAAACTTCGCACTCTTCGGTGCCTTGAAAAGTCGGCCTTGCAGCGCCGACGCTAGGCTCCGATCGCCCACTCTTCCCTAGGCACTCAACCTTTGCAGCCCCAGGTCGGCGCAAATTCCAAGTTTCCACACCTTCGGCGCCATTGGTCCACGGTGGTACTCTAGCACCACGCGGCCTTCGCGACCTGCAACGGGCGCCTCGCCTGCGACCGCGTCCTCTGCAGCCGCCTGCGCCACGCCGGCGAGCGGGACCTGGCCCGCTCCGCCGCGGCGATCGCGCGCGCCCGAGAGCGGGCGTCGCGGGCCGCGCGCCGGGCGCATGCTTCCTTGATCCATTGCGCCTTTCACCCGTAGGCACAACCCATGTGTTCATACATTGGTTCCTTTCGCCCGCGAGCGCAAACCATGTGCTTTTACACTGGTTCCTTCATCTGCTAGCGCAAACCTGTTGTTTTTACTTGTTTTACATGGACTCCTTCCGCCCATGGGCCGTAACCATTTGTACCGTTTTCACCGTGTGTTCCACGGGTTAGCTTAGCCCGCGGACTAGTGCCATCTGTTTTGACGTGGGTTCCTTGCCTGTGAACTCAAGCCATGCGTTTTTACATGGGTTCTTTTCGCCCGCGGGCCGAAGCCACGCGTTTGCACATGGGTTCCTTTCGTCTGCGAGCGCAAACCATGTGTTTTAACATGGGTTCCTCTCGCCGGCGGGCCAGAAGCATGCGCGTTGACATGGGTTCCTTTCGCTCGTGGGCCCAAGCCATGTGTTTGCACATGGCTTCTCTTTACCCGCGAGCACAAACCGTGTTTTTTTACATCGGTTCCCTTCGCCCGTGGGCCCATGCTATGTGTTTTTGTTTCCACATGGGTCCCTTGCATTTGAAAGCTCAAAATCTGTGTTTTTTACATGGGTTCCTTTCGCCCGTGGGCCCAAACCATGTGCTTGTAGATGGGTTCCTTTCGCCCGTGGGACCATTTTTACATGGGTCCATCTCATATGTGAGCTCCAAAAATGTGTTTGCACACTTTTTCTGAAAAGCTGCGAGCGCAAGCAATGTGCTTGTTACCTGGGCCTTTGAACCCCAGAGCGCCAGCCATATACTTAGTTTCGCTTGGGTTCCTTGTTTGTGAGTTCAAACCATGCGTTGTTTAACGTCGGTTCCTTTCGTCCGCGGGCCAGAGCCACTGGTTTGCACATGTGTTCCTTCCGCCTGCGATCGTAAGCAATTTGTTTTTAATTGGTTCTTTGGGCCGAAAGCATGTGTTTACATGGTTTTTTTTCGCCCGTGGGCTCAAACCATGTGTTTGCACAAGGGTCTCTTTCACCCGTGAGCGCGCACCATGCGTTTCTACCCCGGTTCCCTTCGCCCGCGGGCCGAAACCATGTGTTTTCGCATTGGTCCCTTTCTCAAGCCATGTGTTGTTACATATGTTCCTTTCGCCGTGAGTCCAACCCTCAGGAAGCTCCAGGAGGCAATAGGAAGCCCCAGGAGGCCCCAGGAGGCCCCAGGGAAGCCCCAGGAAGGCCCAGGAGGTCCCAAGAGGCCACAAACAAATCCCAACCCCCTTGTTTTCACATGGGCCTCTGTCGCCCGTGGGCTACAACCATTTGCTGCTACATGGGTTCCTGTCGCCCGTGAGCTCACGACGTGTGTCTTCGCACGGGTCGCCCGTGAGAGCGCAGACCATCTGCTTGCACATCGGTTCCTTTCGCCCGTGAGCCCCAATCCTGTGGTTCTCCGTGGCCCCATGCCCGCTCGGTGGCGTCTCCTGGCGCGCTAGCGCGTCTCCTGGCGCGCGCGTCGCTTGCAAAATCCCCTGGCGTGACGCCCCCTGGCACAACCCTGGCACGCCCCGCGGCGCGTCCCGTGGCGCGTCCCCTGGCTCGTGCTCTGTCGCGTTCCCTGGCTTGTCCCTTGGCGCTCCCCCTGCCCGTTCCGTGGCGCGTCCCTTGCCATGTCCCTTGGCTCGTCCGAGGCCACGTCCCCTTGGGCGTCCCTTGGGACGTTCCCTAGCATGACGTCCTCTGGCACGCTCCACGGCACGCACCTCGGCAAGTCCAGTCACAGGTCCCTGGCAAGTTCACGGCGCGTCCCCTGACACGTCCAACGGCGCATCCCCTAGTGCGCCCCTGGCTCATCCCGTGGTGCATCCATGCCCTGCGCCCCGTGTCGTCTCGTCCCGCTTTGGAGCTGAGTCGGACCTTGAGCTCGAGCTGATTGAGCGTCCCACACGTTTCGACTGCAACCAACTCTGCGCCAGCTATGCGCTCAAGCAGCTCGAGCTTAAGATCCAGATCAGTTCGGTCAGGATTCGGATGCAAGGCCGACTTGATTTACAACGCTATAGAGCACAACCCAAGTCATCAAGGCATTACACATCTAAATTCAACACAGCACAACACACAACAACTGACACGGCTCTGGACCTCTGCTTACTGCGACTGTTTGCAACAATGCGTCCCACGGGGGAGGCTCCACAGCTCCACCTGCTCGAAACAAGCGCCAAAAATAGCCAAGATCTACTCCATGTGGGGGGAGGGGGGAATGCGAGGGCCCACGCCGAACGGCAAAACGATGAATACGAAAACGACTACCTTTTCATCCTGAGTCGTTGCTTGACGCTCCCCTGCGAGGGCCCTCGGAGCCTGAAAACGACGAGAAGCCTCCGCGGCTCTTTACTTGCTCGACACGCTGGAGGTCTGGTGGCCATCGCCGCGAGCCTGGCCGGGCGCATCCTGGGCCCCAGGATCGGTGTCCGCCCTCCTGGCCTGGTGGTCCGAATTTCCATCACCACTACCGTAGGTAGGGGGAGGAAGAGGAGGAGGAGGAGGAGGAGGAGGAGAAGAAGGAGGAGGAGGAGGAGGAGGACCTGCCCCTTCCTCCCTGCTCCCCCGTCCTACCCATGGTAGTGGTGGTGGAAAACTGGCCCACCATGGCCAAGCCAGAGGGGCGTCTGCATCGATCCTGGGTCCAGGAGAAGCCCGCCCAAGATTGGCGAGGCCTGGTCGGCTGGCGTCCCCCGAGCTGCTACCGTTCGCGAGGGGCTCCACCGTCTTGCTCTTCTGCAAGACCGCGAACTCTCTCGGGTCCTGCGCCACGAAAATATGCACACGGACACCCTCCGACGAACTTTGCATGTACCTTCAGGGAGGGTGGCGGTGAATAAGGTCGCTGGCTCAAAGTGGTGACTTATGAACCGCCGCTCTCCGCTGAGGCCCAGGAACAATTCTTTGGAGGGTGTCTGTGTGTACATTTCTGGCAGAGGTCCCTCGCCATGCACAGTCTGGCGCTGGGCGCGGCCTTCGCGCAAGGGTTGCGCACGAGCACCACGATCTGCTCCCCCTCGAGGCTGCCGACCCTGACCTCGAGGGGGCGAACAACGCCGTCGCCGTGCGGCGCCTGTGCCTACCTCCCGGGAGGAGGCAGGCTAGGAGCGCCCGCGCCATATCTGACATCCCACCCCTCCCACCCATCTCGTCCCACTGCGCTGCCTTTTATCTAGCCGAGCCACCGACGGGTGTCATAGCGGACCCGGGACCCCCCAAGGGAACCCATCGTGTAATGCGCAATCTGGGAAGGAGAGCTACGTACACCAGAGGAGGTGGCGAAGGAGCAGGAGAAAGGGAAGGATGAGGAATGGGGAGTGACGAGGAGGAGCGGCGGCAGCAGGAGCGGGACGAGCGGGAGGAGCAGGGCCAGCGAAGGCGGGGGTGGGGAAGAGAGGGGGGGGCGACAACGACGAGGAGGCAACCGGATCCAGAGGTGTGGCCCGCGCTGGGTCGAGAGCGCCACGCTGAGCAGCGGGAGCGGCGCGCCGATCCAGAAGCGCGGCCAACGCTGCAGCGGGAGCATCGTGCACGCGCCCAGAAGCTATGAATCACCAGCTTCCCACCTACGCCCTGCAGGGCGCAGGTGGTTTGGGGCGCTTCCTCTTCCAACCCCCTTCTTCCCCGTCGGGGAGGGGTTCCCCAATGCGTCTTAATTCTATGCACGCCCTCCCCCACCTGACTGGGGGCAGACCGGGAACCATCACACACACAAACACACCATCCCATGCCAAGAAACAAAACCAAGTGCGCTTTGCGGCAAAATCTGGATCATGCGCATGCGCCAAGCGAGCACCCTGCATTGTTTGTTGACAGGGACGGGGGGGGGCGGCGCGGAACCTGTTGCGCGCAGACCCTTCATTCGTTTCAGAAAACAAAGGAAATACATGTTGCGGCAATTCTTGGTCATGCGCGGGCGCCTCGCGCTCACTTTGCATTGTGTTTTGACAGGGACGATCGGGGTCCCCTGGCACGAGTGGCGCACCTCGCGGGCGTTGCGCACCTGGCCGGCGTCTGCATTGGTTCCCAATGATTGTTGATGGCGGCACCTGCCCACGCTGAGACTCGAGTGCTACTTATGTGGTGGGAAGGAGTGTGGGAGTGAGCGAGACGGCCGTCCTTCCGGGGGGAGCTTGATCACTGTCCCTGATTCATGTACACCCCCTCCCCCACGCGACTGGGTGAGATCCCAACGGGACGGGTGAGACCCAGATCCCAACGGGTAAGAAAACCAGAACGGGAGAGTTTCCAAATTAAAATCACTACTGCTCCATCATCTTGGCAACGACAACCGAATACTATCCCTTCAGGGATCTCACACGGTCCTCATCGTGCGCCGTTGGGATTTCTACCGCCCCGCTGCCCTATGATATTGGACTTCTAAATGCTCCAGAACAGCCCAACATAGGCTCGATACGCTACAAGACGGCCTCCAGATTGCTCAGGAGGCCCCCAAAATGGCTCCAAAAGGCCTTCTCGAAGGACCTGAACAAAGCATTATTCCCACATGACTTTTAACGGTTTGCACGTTTTCGCAATTTCGGGCTTTCGATAGCCCCTGGGGCATCCAAGAAGGCACCAAGACGGCCCAAAAGACCCTTCAATAGCGCCCCAAGACGGACCAAACGGGACCCACAACGGCTCAGGATCCCCCCAAAACGGCCCCAAGGCGGCCCAAGAGACTTCCAACCTAGCCTCAGGGCACCCAAAAGAGGCCCCCAAACGGCCCAGAGAGGCCCAGAGGGGCGACGGCCTCCGAAGGGCCTCTGACGGGCCAGGGACGGGCCAAGGGCGACCCAAGATAGCCCGAGAAGGGCAGAGGCAGGAGGGAGGAATGGGGAGGGAGGAAGGTGGAGGAGGAAGAGGGAGGCGGCACGTGGTGTGTAGAAATCTGGATACTCGGACCTCGATTCTCGAGCCTCCTCGCCCCGCCCAAGGAGCCCAGGCCGGAGTCCCCGGAGGCCCGCGGAGGCCTCTGTAAGCCTCGGGAGGCTTCAAACAAACCGAAAGCGTAAAGAAGCCTCGGTCCTCGAACCTCGATCCTCGAATCTCCTCGTCCAGCACGGTGCGTCGAGTCCAAAGGTCTCCAAAGGTCCAGAAGCCTCGGAAGCCCCAAAATAGCGGAAAACTGTCCTCGAATCTCGATCCCCGAACTTCTTCGGTCCGCCCGACGCACCCAATCGAGAGATCTCCAGACATCCCTGGGGGGTCCCGGTAATCCTCGGAAGCTTCCGAAAGCGCCCGACAGCACAAGACAGACAGGCTGAATACGTCCAGACCACCGACGAGGGGGCTGGCCTCCTGTGCCCAGGCCACCGATGACGAGCTACTCTTCACGGCGTGGCCTCAGAACTCTTGGCTCATGTCCCCGGACATTTCCGTCGCGGGTCGTTTTCTGAATGTCCCAAGGCCTGAAACCGGCAGAGGACGCGAGGAGGGTTAGCAGAACCAGAACAGGAGCGGGGGAGTTATTAGGGAGGGAGGAACGAGGATGTGCGAGGTGCAAACGACATGGGAAGGGAAATCTTAGGCCCACACATGGGACACACATGAGGCGAACTTCGGGGTTCTGCGAATCGCCGCGCAAACCTGCACACCCTAGAACATCGAGCGGCTTGGCGGCAGCGCAATATTGTCCTATGGACCCGAAGTGACTCCAAGTTGACCCCGCGATTCCAATGCGACCCCGCGATGGCTCTTAGTTGATCCGAATCAGCGACGGATGGCAGCTACGAAGGGGGGATCCTGATCCTCAGGGCGGAATGTGAAGCGCGGACAGATTCTGAACCCAACGACCCTGGCAGAACTTAGGCGGAGCCACATATGTGGTGCAACCGACGTACTGCAATTAATTTTGAAAAGTTTGGAGTTGTCAGCACCACTGCTCGCGCAATCATCCCACCCACCCACCCGCACCATTTGTTTGCAAAACCCATGCGGCGGTGATTGCGATGAGTGCTTGGTGCTGGCTGGTGCATCTCTACGGCGGCGCTAACCCGCGCAGGCTCTCGCGCAGAACGACCAGCTAGTCTGGCGCGACCGATGCAGCCGCGGTGGCGCTGAACGCCGAACACTTCCCAGCGCGTCTCGCAGGCCGCCTTGACGCGCGGGCCGCGAGACGGTGATTTGGGCGGGCGTGGTATCATGGCGACGTCGCCATCGGCTGACACGCTGATGATAGTAGCGATGCTGGTGACGATGATGACGATAACGACGGCGAGGCCAATGACGGTGCCGATGTTGATCACGCCGATGCCGATGATGGTGTCTGGAAGGAATTCGCCATGTGCACACGGCCGACGCGCGCGAGTGGCCCGCATGATATCATTTGAAAAAGGACCGTGCCCCTCCAGCACGCGCGCGGGGGCGTTCGAGAGATGTCGACATGAGCGCACGAAAGGCCCGTTCAGTAAGACTTCGCAAGAGCCCGCGCAAACTTCTGTTCGAACATGATGTGGCAAAACCATGTGTTCATATGTTTTCGGGACACCCGTTTAAGGTCCGAACGACACCTCAGGTGTTCGAAAGATTCCGGAATGCGCGCACGACGATGCACGCGTGCGCACTTCGCCCCATTCTGGTGCAAGGGGTTTTTGAAAATCGATGATTCGCGATAAACGAATGCGCGCGCGTAAACTTGTTGCAGACGATGGCGGGGAGGGGAGTCAAAACCGGGAAAGCGCGCCACTGAATCACCCTGTACTTGAAAAGAGAGGGGGTGCTCGCAGAACCCCCCCCCCTCCCCCCCTTTAAAGGAGGGGTGAGATTTTCAAAGCCCCCCCCCTCCCCCCCTTAAGGGGGGGGGGTCCGAACCCCCTCCTCCCCCCCCCCTTCCCCCTTTGCGCCGCCGAACAGGGGGCCGGGAAGCGGGGGGCGGGCTTCTCCCGCTTCTCCCTTCTGCGCCAGAGAAGATGGGTAGGCAGTACGGAATAGGGAGAAGTGTGTAGTAAGTAGTACGTAGTGAGTAGTGCGTAGTGAATAGTGAGTAGTGAGAAGCGAGTGGGGAGTAGTGGGTACTGAGTAGCGAGTAGGGCCGGCATCGGGAGTCGGGAGTGGGGAGTAGTGGGTCGTGAATAATGAGTACTGGATACCGAATTGCAAAGTAATGAATGACTGGTGAATACTGATAGTGAGTAGTGAGTAGCGAGTAGTGAGTAGTGAATAGTGAATGATGAGTAGTGAGTAGCGAGTAGGAAGCAGGGAGTAGGGAGTAGTGAGTAGTGACTAGTGGGTAGTGAATACTGGGTGGTGAGTAGTGAGTAGAGTAGTGAGTAGTGAGTAGTGGGTCGTGAGTAGTGCGTGGTGACTAGAGAGTAGGTCGTATTGAGCAGTGCGTAGTGAGTGGTGAGTAGTGCGAAGTGAGTTGCGACCAGTGGGTAGTGAGTAGTGGGTAGTGGGTAGTGAGTAGTGAGTAGCGAGTAGTGAGTAGCGAGTTGTGAGTAGTGGGTAGCGAGTAGGGCGTTGTGAAGAATGAGAAGTGAGGAGGGAGCAGTCAGTGATAAGTAAGGAATAGGGAGTAGGGAGTAGTGAGTAGCGAGTAGTGAGTAATGAGTCGTGAGAAGTGTTTAGTAGGGAGTAGTGAGAAGGGGGGAGTGGGTAGCTAGTAGTGGGTGGTGAGTAGTGAGTAGCGAGTAGAGAATAGTGAATACTGAATGGTAAACGGTGAATAGTGTGTAGAGAGTAGTGAGTAGTGACTAGTGAATAGGGTGTAGGGAATAGCGAGTAGTGAGTACTGTGTAGGGAGTAGGGAGTAGCGAGTCGTGGATAGTGAGCAGTGCGTTGAGGGCAGTGACTAGTGAGTAGTGAAGTGTGAGTAGTGAGTAGTGGATAGTGGTTAGTGGGTAGTGAGTTGTGTTCAATGAATAGTGAGTACTGAGTAGTGGGTAGTGAGTAGTTAAGAGTGAGTAGTGAGTAGCGAGTACGGAGTAGTGAGTAGCGAGTAGTTAAGAGTGAGTAGTGGGTAATGAATAGTGAGTCGTGAGTAGCGAGAAGTGAGTAGTGGGTAGTGAATAGTGCGCAATGAGAAGTCAGTGCTCT